ATCATCATCATCATCATCATCATCATCATCATCATCATCATCATCGTCATTGTCATTGTCATCGTCATCATCGTCATGATGTATGGGCTTTTTCCAAATCCATATTGCACAGAGTCTGCTGGCTTCTCTCTCTTTTCCTCTCTCCCCCCACCCCTATGTTTTCAACAACATGTACAAGATTCACATGATGGCTATTAAATAGTTTGTATTTTGTTACTCAGCAGTGCAACATAGCCAGAATGATGGAAAACATTCATACTAATTTCCCTGCTATGTATAAGTAAGGTTGGTATTGCCAGGTGCCTACAAGGATCATCCTCTGTGAGGGGGGCGGGTGTCTTATTCCTCCTCAGAGCATTCTTGCAAGGGAATTAAGATTTCACCGGCCTTATATTCACCCTGTGGGTGGCTGTGCAGAGTGGACACAGCATGGAAAACAGTGTGTGAAGAGTGGTAGAAAGGACACTGATGGTGGGCTGTATAGAAAGTGGTAGAAAGGACACTGATAAGTCCCCCAGCTGGAATGATCTTTTCACAACGTCCTTTACCATCAAGGAGTCTCACCCTCCAAAATCTACCATCCAGTACCATAAGCCCCTTCTCCTTCCCTTCTTTGGGACATTGGTGAAGAACCCCAACTGTTCCAGACTCCATCTGTATCTTCCCTCTGTCTTCTCTTGTCCAACGTCACATTTCCAGTCTCGCCAACTTTACTCTTATCAGTTCCTTGGCATCTCTTTGGGTATTTGCCAATTGGTCTGCACCAGGCATCTTTTAGATGTGTTTGGACTGCCAGCAAGAACATCTGAAGGGCATTAGGGATGGGTAAGGCTGGGCTCCCTTTGGCAGAGAGAGCAATTTTCCTTCCTTGGTCCTGGTTCCAAACCCAATTATTTCTTTTCCAGGAATAACTGTTTTGTTGTCCCTCACTGTTTTTATGCTCCTGGTGGCAGAAATCATGCCAGCAACATCGGATTCTGTGCCATTAATTGGTAAGCCTCTTTCATAGGATTAATATCTTTTCAATCATGCGACATCGCCTCAAAGATCTAATTTAGGAAGTATGTGTTTTATGTAGTTCTAGCTTCATATAATTTTAGATTAAATCGTTCAGAAATCTGGCTTTTGGATTGGAAGTGGGAACCTTAATCCCTTCTTTCATTGGCATAGAAGTTGGGGCGGGTGGGCAGGGGGAGCACGAATAGAATGCAGTTTCAAAGTACAGAAGCTCCTGGACTTGTATTTTCTGACATTTCCACTTTCAATCTGTTTTTACCTATTTTCCATGATGCTATCTCAAAACCCAAGGCTGATTGGCTATGCCTTGTTTTGATGCCATCCTGTTTGGTACAGGATTCCTGATAGGGTGGCTTTATCCATCTGACTGACCCAGTAAAAAGAGAAGTGTCTTTAAATAAATATTTCTGCTTCTTGGAAATGGTTTGTACCCCCAAGATGAAACATATCCAATGGAGCAATCAGTAGATCTACAATGTCAGTCATGTGGTATCTCTTTATTATTATTATTTTTTAATGTATTCCTTGTTTCCTTCTGCAGCCCAGTATTTTGCCAGCACCATGATTATTGTCGGGCTTTCGGTGGTTGTAACAGTCATTGTCCTACAATACCATCACCATGATCCCGAAGGTGGCAAAATGCCCAAATGGGTAAGTACTTTTTTTGTGGAATCTTATTTTTCCTCCATTAAAAACACCCCACCAGCCAGAGAGGCAGGTAAGTATCCCCTGTATACCAAATATGAGATTCTCCAGGCAGAGGAGAGAAGGTGCATTGCAATTTCTGCTACCTGGAGATCAATCGAATGTAAGTCCATTTCACACTGCAAAGTATCAGGGAGCAGCAGCAATGTATATTTTATTTATTCAGATATGTTGCTCTGCCTCTTCATCTGTGAAGACCAGTCAAGCAGCCAACAAATCATTAATAACTAAACAACACTGAAAACAAAGGAGTGTGTATATTTTCTCCCCAGGAGGCAGAAAATTCTTCTGCTGCACAGGCTGATTATTTAAACTTTCAGGAGGCATCTGGAATACCACTGAGGACGGGTCCAAGATCCTTTCTTCTCTGTGCAGTTTTGCACAGTTTTTGCAAGCACAGCATAATGTGATTATTCCCCATCCCACAAACCCCACCATAAAACTTCAGATCCGGTCTGTCCCCAAAAGGAAGTGGTCCACCAGTGCTTTGAAGGTGTTCTAAAGATGGAGGGACGTATATTTTCTTTGTTTAGTGCAACTCTTTGAAGGCCAGAAGATGATTATACTCCCACTTTGCCTTTGGTGAATCAGGGAGAATTAGTGGCAAGTTGGTAACAGAGAGAGCGTCAGCTTTGTTGATGGTTCCTACATTAAGAAGCACCAGAACATTCTTGAACATAACTGGGTGAAAAGGAGGTAGAACATCTGCCTTGCAAGCAGAAGATCCCGGTTTCTGCTGCCAGCTTGGGCTGAGATGGATCAGATGGACCAAGAGTTCTAGCTTGGTACAAGGCAGTTCCTTTCTATATCCTCAACTTCCTGGTTGAAATGGGGCATGACATGGATATTGAAACCCCCCTCCCAGTATTTCTGAGAAATAGGGTAGAGGTTGAAAGATAAATAATGGTGGGTGTGAAGGTAGTCCCCACTAGATCTCCTTCTAGTGACTTCTCATTAGAAGCCACCATATCCCTCTCCGTTTCAAAGCTCCAGAACATTGTTCTTACTCAAAATCATCCATTTAACTCAGGTGGTTGAATATGTTGATGCGTAGGCTGAATTCATTCCAGGAAAAGAGCCAATTTGATTTGTTTGAGTTGACACCTACACTCTTGCAGGAAAGTCCATTGAGTTGTTGAAATGGAGTTGCAGGTTCCCATTTTGATTCAATCCATTGAGCATTTTGATTCCCAGGGCTGCTTCAGTCGAATCATCTTTGCTTTGAAGTTTTGCACTGAAGCTTTGCACAGGCCTAACGGATATAGGATGACACGAAGTCATTCATTCAGTTTAATGTCCATTGATGCAGTAAGCTCAGGGTTAATTTTCTTAAAGAAATGGAATATAAGTGCATTTTGATGCATGCTAGATTGAACTTTGGAAAGTCTGCCTCACCAACTATCTATTACGGGAGGAGTGTGCAAACGAATTTATTATACTATGGAATCCACACCGCTACATTTGGGCAGCAAATCACAGGGAAACATGATTTCCTGCTGCCTTTGTGCGAAAAATGAATAAGGACAGACACGTCAACATTTCCCATCTGCCTCTTTAATTTGAGGAGGGAGTCTTCTCTTACTGTTACCAACCTCAAAGGCTCACCTGTGACCTTTTTTCAAAAAAACTGCATCAAACAGTTTGAATTTTAAAAAGAAACATACATGGAAACAGAGTAAATTTAATGATATCATGATTTAAAGAAAAAGGGTAGGAACCCCAGACCCCAAAGAGGAAGAAGACTTGGAAATTTATTTCAAGTACAAAAGAGCTCCCCCACATTGATGAGATTGCTTGGAAGACTTGTCACTTGTCCCTCTGTACATAAAACAAATGTAATTCAAAAGTTGTCTGATCATGCTTCTCAGTTGCTGCAAAACAAGTGTAGATTTGTCCTTCCTAGGTTGCATAATAATTCCTCTTGCCATCCCCAGGCAAAAAAAGACCCACAGTTCTTCAAGCTTTGATAGATTCCAGAAGATGGCATATAGACAAGCAGAACTGAAGCATCTTTAAACAGGAAGGATGGATCAAAGTCATGTTGACAGTCCTGTGGCTTTCAGCCCTTCCCCAACTTTAGTGTTAAGTTAAGCCTGTGCCAAACAGCTTTGATCTCCTTTGTGCAGGCAATGCAATTCAGGCCACATCAAAATCTCAGGTGGTTCCTGAAGTAGGCACAACAATCTGAGTTGGAAAAGTGAAGCATCACACTGCTTCTCTTTGTTCTCAGAAGCGAGAGTCCCCATGGCTTTGTGAAGGAGCTTCAAGAGAGGGAGTCCCTCAAGCCTTCTTCAAGGGGCAGTATCTCCTTGATGGTCTACACAATCCATCTTCAGCTTTTTGCAACTCCTGCTCCCAGAAGGAAGAGCTTGAAACTTAGATTAGATTTAGATTAGACTATCTCCTCCTCAAATTTGGTCACCCTGGAGATCTGTAGTGCCAACCACTTCTGGAAGGTGCTTAGGTAAGGTAAGGAAAGGCTCTGTATATCAAAACCGTATGCTTCTCTGTGTTTTCCAGACCAGAATTATTCTTCTCAACTGGTGTGCCTGGTTTCTGAGGATGAAAAGGCCTGGAGAAGGCAGAGTGCGCCCGGCTTGCCAGCACAAACAACGGCGCTGTAGCATGTCAAGTGTGGAGATAAATACAGTCAGTGGTCAGCAATCCAGTAATGGGAATATGCTATATATTGGGTTCAGAGGCCTGGAAGGTGTCCACTGCACCCCAACCACTGATTCTGGGGTGATCTGTGGAAGAATGACTTGTTCCCCCACAGATGATGACAACCTCCTTCACAATGGCCACCCTTCTGAAACTGACTCGGATCTAGCAAAGATCCTCGAGGAGATCCGATACATTGCCAACAGATTCAGAGACCAGGATGAGGCTCAGGCTATTTGCAATGAGTGGAAGTTTGCCGCATCTGTTGTGGACCGCCTCTGCTTGATGGCGTTCTCGGTCTTCACCATCATCTGCACCATTGGCATTCTGATGTCGGCACCCAATTTTGTGGAGGCTGTTTCAAAAGATTTTGCTTGACCTGCACTTGGGGACTGTCCCCAACCCCAAAGTTGGCCATTTCTCAAAATCTGTTATGTAGCAATAATGTATTCAGGGCACTTGATTATATTGGATATGTGGATGCAAACTTTGTTTTTTTGGGGGGGGGGAGTGATGGTGAAGGTTCAGGCTAAAAAAGACAGTCTCATTATTAAGAACCTCAGTGAGGTATCATAAGTGCTCCTCCATCACGACCTGACCTCACCAGCTTTGGTGTCCTGAATAAACTCTTTAAATAAACTCAACTTGCATCTCATTTGCATTATTTATTCAGCTTCTAGTGTTTTTGTTTTCAAGGAATTGACAATAATTTTATTGTTTGTTTGTTTGTTTGATTTGATTTGGTGCCACCCAACTCCAAACTACTCTTCTCTTCTCTTCTCTTCTCTTCTCTTCTCTTCTCTTCTCTTCTCTTCTCTTCTCTT